AGAGACAGCGAGAGAGGGAACACAAGCAGGGGGAGTGGGAGAGGGAGAAGCAGGCTTCCCACTGAGCAGGGAGCCCGATGTGGGGCTCGATCCCAGGAACCTGGGATCATGACCTGAGCCGAAGGCAGATGCTTAACGACTGAGCCACCCAGGCACCCCTCTTAATCACTTTCAATCCTGATTCAAGTGCCCCCTCAACGAAACCTTTGCTGGCCACTCCATTTAGTATTTCGAATTAACTCATATTACCTCCATCCTCCCTTAATGCCTTTCCTACTCTCTCTCTCTACCTACCTACCTAAAAATGGAGTCGGAAAAAAAACCCTACTGGAGAAAGTTGATGGGTCTTTTTAGAGTTACAGAAAGAAAAAAAAAAAATCTAACTTGGGGAATAAGAAAGGTAGATCAAAGTGAAAAAACTGTCGCTAATTTCTAGTGATAGATTTATGACATTTAAAAAGATAAAATCTGGGGTGCCTGGGTGGCTCAGTCATTAAGTGTCTGCCTTCGGCTCAGGTCATGATCCCAGGGTCCTGGGATCTAAACCCGCATCGAGCTCCCTGCTCAGTGGGAAGCCTGCTTCTCCCTCTGCCTCTGCCCCTGCTTGTGTTCCCTTTCTCGCTGTCTATCAAATAAATAAATAAAATCTTTTTTTAAAAAAAAAGATAAAACCCTGGGGCTCAGTTGGTTAAGCGTCCAACTCTTGATTTCGGCTCAGGTTATGATCTCAGGCTCTTGGGATCAAGCCCTGTGTGGGGCTCTGTGCTCAGTGGGGAGTCTGCTTGGGATTCTCTCTCTCCCTCTCCCCACCTCCCCGCCCCCTCCCCGTGTGCATTCTCTCTAAATTAAAAAAAAAAAAAAAAATCTTAAGAAGATAAAGCCCTAAGGATAGTACCATGGTTCCTTATTATCCCATATTAGTAAGGAAGGACAGGAAAAAAGGGTAAGAGAGGCAGGATAAATGTGACATGATACCCAGGAGTCCTATGAAAAGGGCAGATGACAGAAGAATCAACTCTGCTTGAGGACAGGATGTGGGGGGAGGCAGGGTATCAAGGACGTTCCAGAAGTGTTCTTTGAGGTGGGTTTTAAAGGATGGATGAATAGGAATTCAATATTAAAAAAATATTCTCGAAAAAATGAGAAAGAGAGAAATTTTCTAGCTAGATTCTAGTTTGTAAGCATACCCAATTCTTACAAAACATGTAACAAACCAAATATAATAAAAACTATTGTCCTCCAGATAAAAAATCAGAGTTGCTACATTTTTAGTTTATAATTTAGTAGCATAATGGTGCAAGTTTCTTTTTAAAGTAAATTATGACAATACTGTTAATATACAAGAATATATACCTTATCTCTTGCAGTAAGAAATCGCGGATCATCTTGAAAAGCTTCTTTGACGAGTTTACTAAATCTATTAAATAATGTAAGTAACTGCTCAACGTATTTCTCAGAGTCCTAAAAATAAAATGTTTTATACTCAATTGAGCTTTTTAAAAAGAAAGCATACAAAAAAATGAAAAAATATAAATGAAATTTTAATACACTATAGTTCTAGAATTTGGGAATTCTCTGAAAAACTTTTTTCTTGATACTAAAAGGCATTCCAACATTACTGTTTTGTCATCAATTACTATTTCAAATACCCAATCCCGCATTTAAAGAACAACCCTGACACATATCCACCGAGGAAACTTACAGTAGTAATAGTTTCAGCAGCTGCCACCATATCTGCCAGGCCAGCACTAATGATATGTTCCTCCAAGTCTTTCAACATTGGCTCTATCCCACTGGGAACTTTGTCCATCAATGAAAACATTAAATGTAATTCTGAAGTGACAGAACACACTCATGTCATCATCTCATCCATCAAAATAAATTTCTCTTTGATTTGTATCTTGGGTCTAGAATGCCTAAGATAGTAAAAGTCTGGAGAAATATTAGTTGGAAATTGAGAACCTTAGTAGTATTCTGTGGGTATAATTAAGAGTTCTTACAATAAGTACTATAACTTACTGATCCACCTTCTCTGACAAAATTTATTTTTAAAAGAAACTCTAATTAAAAGTAATCACACACCACAAAACCTAACTCCTCTTAAAAGGTGAGTCATTTGACCTTCAACTCAATGGAATATTTTATTTTTTTTACTTTAAATTCAATTAATTAACATATAATGTATTATTAGTTTCAAGGTACAGGTCAGTGATTCCTCAGTCTTATGTAATACCCAGTGCTCATTCCATCACATGCCTTCCCCAACGCCCATCACCCAGTGACCCCATCCCCCCAACCCCCCTCCCCTCCAGCAACCCTCAGTTTGTCTCCTAGGATTAAGAGTTTCTCATGGTTTGTCTCCCTCTCTGATTTTGTCTTGTTTCATTTTTTTCCTCTCTTCCCCTATGATCCTCTGCCTTGTTTCTTAAATTCCACATATCAGTGAAATCATATGATAATGGAGTATTTTTGTATCTAAGAAGTACAAAAGTTTACTCAGAAGGGTAGTGTATTTTATAAGGTAGATACAATATTGAATACATAGCACCACATCATCAAGTGGCAAAAAAAAAAAAAAAAAAAAATCACATCATCAGACTGTTCAAAGTGATTATAAAAGTGTATTAGAGATAATATAAAACTGAATTCATAGGGAATTTTTCAGTTTATAAAAGCACTTTCTCCTGTTATACCATTTTATTGACCTTCACAAAAATCTTACTGCACAGAATTGGTTACCACTAAATAAATTCTTTTGAAGGGAACCCAACATGGACTTAGAAATAACTCTGTTTGGCCTAGCATACAAAAGTCCAAATATTTCATTTATGCCAATGAGCTTTTTAGTACAAAATTACAAGTGTACGAACCTAAGTGAACCGAAATACATACTTTAAATGCAACTAGAGATTAAACAGGACCTTTGCAATTATACACAATGAAACCTGGACAGGAACAGACCCAAATGTTAAAATATGGGTATTAAAGAGGGCACGTATTGAATGGAGCACTGGGTGTTATACGCAAACAATGAATCATGGAACACTACATCAAAAACTAATGATGTACTGTATGGTGACTAACATAACATAATAAAATAAAATCTTTTTTTAAAAAAGTTATCTCCGTGTAGTTAGAAATATAGGTAACTTTTACCATATTGGTTGTAATGCACTCACAACCTCCCAAAATATAACTTTATTAAGAAAACATATCTGTAATAAAAAAGTACACTTGCAGAAATCTTAAATTATAACATATTTTAGGGGAGAGGGATGAAGATCATTAACATGGAGTGTTGTATTACTTTCTAAAAATATTCGCCACAAAGTTCCAACAAAAGTCAAATACCTAGTTCTAGTCTCTCCCAAATGTTTATCATTTAAATGAGTCTTTAAAAGCAGAGCCCTACATCTGAGAACAAACTGAAATCTACCCCCATCCTCTACACACAAGTACAGATACCTAAGAGTGGAATGTTTAAAATGTAAATTCTTCTTTACAGTACTGCTGTGTTAAATATTTTATCATTTGATAAATATTTTATCATTTTCTTTAAGCAGTTTACTGTAACAAATATTACCTACGCAGAAAAGGATGATCTAACAGCAACTTATTAAAAGTAATCAGCTTCAAAGATACCCTCTTAAAAGAATGAGAACTTTATGTGATGTTTTACCTACTTTCAGTTTCATTTCGCTTGATCATGCCTTGGCACTCTGCTAAGATAGTCTCTTTAAAGGATGTCACCAGGGCATTTACACAGCATTCCATGAGCTGAAATATATCAAAAATTGGTCAAGGCTAATAGAAGCACAAACCTACTCCACCCCACTTTGCTTTTTTAGTTCCATAAAACCATATTGTTCAACAACAGCAAAAATTAAGTACAATGAAAGTAGATCTTACTTACCTTTGCTACAGGGGCACTGAAGATGGATACTCTATACTAGTTCACCAAGGTATATTTACCCCAAGAAAAAGGCTACAGAACTTACGTTCTCTTTAGAAATTTTAATAGAAGTCCCCAAGGAGGGGAGGAAAAAAACTGGAAGATATACAAAGCAAAATGAAAAAAATAAACTTTGATGAATTCTTATCTGGAGAAAACACGTGTTAAAATTAGATTCTACAATTCTAAATACAGTCATTCAACAAACCATCACTGGATGCCTACTTCGTGCAGGCAGCAGAGAAGTGGTTAGGAGACAAAGAACACTAAGATATAACCCCTGCTTTGGAGGAAGAGCACTGTCTAATGAAGGGTAGGGGAGAAAGCAAACCTAAACGAATAAATACAACTCAGTTAAGTGGCAAAATACACACATACACTCATACTCATGCCCAACAAACGAAAAAACAGGCAGAGGAACTAAATACTTCTGGGGTAGTTAAAAAAAGTCTCAACTACAAGATGCAATCTAAACTGAATCTTGAAAACTAATTACAAGTCCAAAATGGATTGAGTATTCTAGGAATAAGAAGAAACTGAATATGGTAGGCAAGAGACAGAGAGTGGAAGAAAAAATGAGAAAGGCAGGCTGGAACCAGATTGTAAAGGAAAATCTATGGTTTGGGATTTTTATTCTATAGGTAGGGTAGGGAACAAAGAACCAAAGGTTTTAAACAGGAGATAAATGCAATGAAGGTCTACTCCCCCTAAGAGTGGACCGGTCAACAAGGCTGTTGAAATATTGCAGGTAACATGGCCAGGGTCTGGTGTTCTAGGCGGTCCTCAGTAGAACCCACCCACCCCACCACTGCTCCCTCATGTCATGGAATTACTTATTCTTCTTGCAGGCATCAATTAAAATGAATAGGTCGTGAGCACTCAAGCACAGTACACCAAGGCTGATATATATCTTCTGAAATAAAGATCATCTGTCTGTACTAAGGAAGGGAATTATGTGCGTCTTAAAAGTTTTGTTAAAAATTCTCCTTGGAATTGACATAATGCTGATAATGACTGAAGCTAAATTTAGGTAATGGGAATTCATTATACTATTCTGCCTACTTTTTAAATGTTTAAAAAATTTCTGTAATAAAAAGTTTTTCTCAGGTCCCTTTTTGAGAATTATGCTAACAACTTTAAAAACCGTGGATGTCAATTTCCCAAGAGAAACAATACACACAAAAAGTGCTTGAGAATTTCTGCCTTGCCAAGGTGGGAAGGTCTGTCCCAACTCCTGAGTAATCTCCCCCGGTACCAGCTCAGACCACACGACCAAGCACTCCTGCCCACAGCAGCCAGGCCAGACTGACAACAGGTGAATCTAACTACACAGAACTCGGGGCAAGAGAGAGAAGGTGCAGTCAGAGTGAGCCCCAAGCCTCTGTCCCTTCATCCCCAGTTTCTATTTCACTGGAAAGTCATAGCTGTGTGACTGGGTAGGAGTCCAACTTCTGCAAATTCCAAAAATCCAGCGTGTGCTTCAAGTTGTTGTTCTGAAATGTGTTAATGGCTGTAACCAGCTTTCTTTAACAACACAGAACAGAACAGAAAAAAGCAGAGTACGTCATACATAATAACAGTGAATGTTATTCCGTAGAACTTTTGTTTCAGATATGTGCAAATAAGCAGAGTGTATACTAAACCACAAAATAAAATGCCTTTCTGTTTGTGGGTTACAATGAGGATTAAAAGGAGAGGACAAGAAAATCGAAGAAACTAAGCAGAATCTAGTAAGTCTTAGATGACAGGAGCTAGGGAGTCTGTTGAGGCAGTTTCTGGTTTGAGAGGCTTAACTATTATAGTAAGAGGTATCTTTTAATGAGCACTTAGTCTGTACCAAGCATTGTGCTAAATGCTTTACATACATTATCTTATTTAACCCCCATGACTGCCTTAGAAAGTAGGTATTTAACACATAAGGAAACAAGCTCAGAGAGGCTAAGTAACTTGCAAGTGTTACACAGTTAGTTAGTGTCACATGAGACCAGGTAGGTGACTCCAAAGTCTATAACTTCTGTTACTACATTAAGAGAGCAAGTATATATTTAGCGATGGCTACATGCTAAGAACTGAGTTGAGTGCTTTAAGGAATAGAGAAGTATAAAACATGGTTTATACCTTCAATAATCTTACAGTCCAGCTGGGGACATGTACGTACACATCTAAAAATCTGTGTATAATTCCCATATAACAGAGATACATTGAAAGAAGTTCAACTCGCAAATAAAGCAAAGAAGTGGAAATAAATACATCATTATGACACTAATAAACTTCACAAGGACAGAGACTATGTTTGTCCATAGCTGTGTATTCATGGCCCCACAACAAAGCAGTCTATAATTTGCTACTAAACCTAGTGGTAAAAACAACAGGTACAGTGGAATTTGAAGTAAGAGGAAACTGATGAAGTCTACAGAATTTGCAGTGACTTTATCACAAGATGGACTATAAGGATTCTGAAGGATTTAAACAGGCAGAGGAAAAGTAGAAAGTAAAACATTAAGAAAACAAGTAAAAAAAATTCTTAAAAATGAATCCAAGGGGAAAAAATGAATAGAAAGAAGTTTAAGAATAAGGAACGATTTACTGGAGTTGAAGGACTCTTGCTGGACAGTATTAAGTTAGAAAAATAGGTTAGGGCCAAAATATGAAGAGTCTTGAACATCAGCTATAAGAAATAATGATACTATGGTTTCTGAATAAGAATAATAGGAAAGTGATGTTTATGAAAGATTAGCTTGAACTCACAAAAGAAGAAATATAATTGGCCCATAATAAGAATAAAGATGTCTAGCCTCAATAACTTTTTTTTTTTTCTTTTTAAAGATTTTATTTATTTATTTGACAGAGACACAGCGAAAGAGGGAACAGAAACAGAGGGAGTGGGAGAGGGAGAAACAGGCTTCCCACAGAGCAGGGAGCCCGATGCGGGGCTCGATCCCAGGACCCTGGGATCATGACCTGAGCCAAAAGCAGATGCTTAACGACTGAGCCACCCAGGCGCCCCCTCAATAACTTTTAAAGACACATAAATTTTTTTTTAAATCTACAATACTAGACTGTCACAATTAATAGACTGACAAAACCCAGATTAGCAAAGATAAACAGGCACATTGTTGATGGGAGTAAGAATTACTACATTTTGGGGCACCTGGGTGGCTCAGTCGTTAAGCGTCTGCCTTCAGCTCAGGTCATGATCCCCGGGTCCTGGGATCGAGCCCCGCATCGGGCTCCCTGCTCAGTGGGAAGCCTGCTTCTCCCTCTCCCACTCCCCCTGCTGTGTTCCCTCTCTCCCTGTGTCAAATAAATAAATAAATAAATCTTAAAAAAAAATTACTGCAGGGCGCCTGGGTGGCTCAGTCATTAAACGTCTGCCTTCGGCTCGGGTCATGATTCCAGGGTCCTGGGATCGAGCCCCGCATCGGGCTCCCTGCTTGGCAGAGTCTGTTTCTCCCTCTCCCTCTGTGACCTCTCTTGCTTTCGCTCTGTCTCAAATAATAAATAAAAATCTTAAAAAATAAAAAAAAATAAATGAAGCAGAAAGGGAGGCTTACTTGTTCTATATCAACTGTCATGTGTATTTGATTATCTCTACCATTCTCATCCTCTTTTTAATGCTTTCTCTTATTTTTAGACATCTGTAGTTGAATCCCCTTAGGCTTCATATAGATATGATACAACTAAGTCATATAAACTAGAGGAGAAAAACAACAATTCTATCTTACAAAACTGCAACATCCCCACCCAGATGCTATGGGCAAATCAACCAACTCAAACTTGTCACACTAACTCCTATTTCTCTCTCAGGACTGAGACTTACTCTTCTATCCAACCTCCCTGTAGCAGCTAAATTCCTCCAGGCCAAAGCCTCAGAAACATTACCGACTCCATTCCCTTTAACATCCAGCCCCACACATGACACCATGTTCCACCTCTGGGAAGTCCTTTCTCTCTACTCTTCTCGGCTACATCCTCGTTGCTATAATCCTACGTGGTACTCCTAAACCCCCGCATGAATTATTGCAAAGACCTCCTACCTTCTACTCTTCTCTCTCCCCCATTCTAATTCATCTTTCAAATCGTCACCAGATTAATCCCCCTGAAGGATGACTGTGAGCATGGCACACTTGCTTAAAAAACATTCCATGGCCTTCCCTGCATTCTGGATGAAGTCCAAGCCTGGCTTTAAATTTCTACAGAGAATTTCTATAAACAACCATGAAATTAGCCCTCTTTTCTGGCCAACATGAAAGTTATTTTAACCACTAAAAGAGGAAATATACTGTACTCTATTAAAAAAAAAAAAAATCCAATTCAACCTGTTTTCTGAACAAGGCATAAACATGACTATCATTCAAGATGGAAAAGTCGAAGAAAAGTCAGGAGCAAATAAAGAAATAAATAAATCCATCCACAGTTGGAAAATGTTTGGTCACAGGCAAACAGGAATGTTGCCTCCTTGAATGTAAATCTAAATCTAGTTCCTAGGCTCCAAAGATTGAAGGGAATTAGAGTAAATACCATTGCTATATATGAGCGATTTCTAAGACTCTCTGCAAGCTTGACTCTTATTTTCCTTACTATAGCACATTTAGGTCATTCTCCATAAGAAAACACTCAGGAGAGATACTGTAACATGGCTACTACTTCTGATCAGTTTTGTTTTGTTTTCTGAGGAACTTACAGTATAAAGAAAAACAAAATAACAAAATAAAGACTGATGTTCCCTGATCAAGTAGTATTTTATCTCTTGACAAGTTTGAAAACGTCCTCCCATAACAAGAATAAATATCCCCTATAAGTAATGATTTGATCGGTACTCACTGATTCAGTGTTCACAGCCACTTTACAGAACATAATCACTGTGAATAACAAGAATCAACTGTATCTCTAGGGAGCATATTTTACTTGCAACATGAAAATCACTAAAATGGTTAACTACAGATGCACATAAAACATAATACAAGGAGACTGTTTAAAAATTAAGTACATTAAATGTAGTAAAGTCTAGAGCAGGGATGGCAAACAGATCTCATCTTGCACATCAGCTCAAAAGAACGATGAATGAGTTCTGCATAAGGTGACTTTGGCAGCTGTCCTCCGGAATACCAGGGAAAGAGTACTAACTGCATTCAGTAATGCCGGTCAGAGGTGTGAGAAGGATGAGTAAGAACACTCGCATCAAATATTTGCCATCCCTGGGCTACTGTACTGGAAATAATCTCCAAGAATACACAATCACACAGTTACTTACTGCTTCAACAGAGTTACATTCCCGTCTGGTTTCTAAATAACGTAGTGCTCGTTTTTCTTCTTCTTTTAATTTAGCATCTGCCTGCCCAGAAGCAAAATAGCAATCATTTTTAAGAATATCAACGGATGAGCTCAAATTATCACATTACTAAGTTCTGACTTACATATTTCATATAATTCTGTACACCATTTTGTTGTAAATACGAGGGTGCCTGTGTTCTATAAAATCTCTCTGTTGAATCCAAGTATGCCTTCTCAAAATTGTCCCTATAAATTTGAAGCTTATCTTCAGGATTAGAACAAAGGTTAACTGAAAAACAGAAAATAAATTTTACTCTAATTATGTTTCAAATCAGTATTTTGAGTACAATAAATGAAATAACAAATAGTGAGGAGTCATTATGTGCAAGGGACTGTGACAATGCTCAAGAGAACATAAATCATATAAGACAAAATCCTTCTGTGTTAAGAGACTTAAAAAGGTAACAGCACAAAGCACTGAAGTGACAAATAGTACAGATAGCATGGGCCTATTGTATTTCTGAATAGGAAACAGAATGACTTCCAACTAGATGGTCAAGAAACCATTCATAGTTGAGATAGGATTTGAGATGAGTCTTAAGGAAAAACTATAATTCACACAGAACCTAGTAAAGTAAGTAAATATGGGGAAGTACCAAATCACAAGGCCAAGTCAAGGTAAAATGACCACGTTGTCTGAGTGGACTGTAAGGTTAGCAGAAAACAAGGTAGAAAGGGAAGTTAGGAATGGTTGTGGAGAGCCTCAGCACTCAGACTAAGTGACCTGATTTCAGCGTGGTGTACCACTAAATGCTAAGAAAAATACTAACAAAACAGTACTTAAAAATTAATCTTGTGAACAGTTCACGGGTTAAATTATAGCAATAAGATCACTATAAGAAGACTATTTCAAAAGTCCAGAAGCAGAGTTTACACAGTATAAACTGGTGGTAGCTGAAATGAGGAGGAATAAATTTCAATGACATGGCTGCTAATGAAAGCCTAGAGACTTTGATACCTAAAGAAATATGGGGCAACAGAAAGAGCCAAAGATAGCTGAAGGTTCATTAATACAAAAAAATTCTTACCGAGGCATACTTTGTGCCCACGTTCTATGTTCAGTGTCAGCAACACAGTTAACTAAAGTATGATGACAGGGAGGCATCGGTACTATGAAGCAGTGTGAGAGGGACCTGACCTAGTCTGGGAATTAGGAAAGGCCTCCGCCAGCAAACAGGATGAGGATGAGCCACAAGTAAAGCAGAAAGAGGAGTATTCTCAAAGAAAACAGTGTATCTGATTTAAAGAACAAATGAGAATATCACGGTCAGAAACTGAAAAGTTCAGAGAGGAACGTGTACATGGAATAAACGTACTTCCTGAAAATATAAGTACAAAACCGGTTACCACCTTTTCTGAGTTCTTGATTCAAATCTATGGTTTCTCTAATTTAGGTCACTAAAAGGGTTCACCAGCCAAGAAATGAGTGAGATGGAGAAAACCAGTATTAACTACAGGAATATGGATTTTTTCTATATTTCCTCGAAGAGATTTAATACCTTCTGTGGGCTCTTAAAAGCATCTGGCACCAAAAGTAGATGTGACTATTTGATAGCACAGATAACTGATCGTACTATTCTGTAATGGTTCAGAATTTCCATAAAAAGTTATGATCATAAAAGTTCAGAACATACCATAGGATTCTCTTACTCCAATGACCAGCTGAGAATCAAAAGCTTCTCCTAATCTTTCAGCATGTACCAGCTTCATTGCACTATCTTGGAGTCTGTTTTTTATATTTGAAAAGATGGACTCATTCCATGTATCAAGCATGAGCTAGGACAAAAAGAAATATGCAATCATCTTAATTATTAATATACCAGGTACCATACAGAAACAAAAAATTTTAACTATAAACACTGAAAAAGGAAATCAAATTCTTAGGCCTATATTCACTTGAATACTTCAGGGAACTAGTGTATTTAAGTTTGGTTAAATGTTAACTTATTTACGGGATTTCCCATCTGAAAATAGTACAAATAATAATACAAATTTCAAGTGGTGTTGTAAAAAATTAAATATAGCAATACATGGAAAAGCTCACCTCTCCTATAGTTACAAGGTTAAATTTCAGTAATACTGGTGTTTGGAATGCTCATATACATATTTGTATAATAAACACACGATAGATGCAAAAAGCACCAAATGAAAACCTGTGTGATACTGGACCTACAAATCCACCTGACAGATGTTCCATTTAAATGATGGCAATGTTATACCCATATCCATATGTATTATCATTCCAAGAAACTGTGTCAGATACAGAAAATATATTAATGACAAGAGCGTCAGCATCAATGATAACATTAGCAGGTATATAACATTCACTACATACCCAGCACGCTCTAAGTACTTTTCACACGTAACTCATTTAATCCTCAAAACCAACAAATAGGTACTGTTAGCTCCCTTTTGAGAAATTAGAATCTGGGACACTGAGAGGAAAGCTAGTTTCCCCACCCTTATACAGCTCACAAACGGCAACACTGGGATGTGAATCCAACAGGTATGGTTCCAGAATCTATGCTCTTTATCGTTAAGTGATGCTGATTCCTATAATCAGTGGGGAATGGTATAAATCAAGAATAACAAAAAAACAAGAGAGCATATGATTATGGAACTGCAAATTAAAAAGCATCTAGAAGTACTTTTCTTTTTCTTTTTTGGGGGAAGGAGGATAATTTCTCACACTGCAGTTATTTCTACCCCCAGAGAACCCCTGGGTGTCTAAATTCACAGCATCCCTGTCCACATCAGCACAAAGTTTAGAGTTGGGAAGGGGCAGGATGCCTACGTCACTATTTGAATGCCTGATTTTGTTGCTATAACCTTCACAGCAAGTAGCAAGTTGCTTAAAGTCCAAGAGGCACTTTACACTTTTTTATTTTTCAAATCTATGTTTCCACTTGATTCTCAGAAGCAGGAATACATATGCGAAATGAGGACAGAGAGTTTAGGTCATAACTGATTGAAGAGTTGAAAAGAAAACCTGGGATTCCACTTTCAGAGCTGAGTTCTTTCCATTAAATCACGAGGGGTTACTGGACACAGAGCTTCTAACTAGAAACCATGCAAAAATATGAAAATAAACACAGTACATAATGAGTTCATGATTACTGGAATCAAGTAAAAAGAAGATCATGAAGATAACAACAATTTAGCCACAATTAAACACAAAGATACAAGAAGGTAACCTAACGAGAGATTTTTGAAAGAGGAAAAAAGTAATTTATAGGAAGGTAAAAGTAACAAAGAAGAAGAAGGAAATAGAATACTGAAGATAAAACCAGGAAAAGGAGAAAGCAAGGCGCTAACATCTGAGGACACAGATCCACAACTTAACACCACACAACATAACGAAAGAGGAGTGCAGCTAAACGTGGAAGGAAGAAAGTTGGTAGTATTCAGTAAAACCCAGCAAGAGCCAAAAAGGAATTTATAGATCGAGTAGAAAAACCACTTAGGGCGCCTGGGTGGCTCAGTTGGTT